TGTTACATTAATGCAATGAAATGATTGCCTGTCCCACAGCTATGCTACACTTTTATAAGGGATGGAACATCATACATGCACAGCAGTCCCCTGCCTGCCTAATTTTTCATGCTACCTAGTCTAACCCGTGCAACCGGTTGCAACAGCCATGTTCACTCAATCCTGCACTGATGCGCCCGTACAGAAACTCCACACATGTAAAGTTCCATGTTCTGTTTTCTAAGTGGTAGGTGTAGTGTCAGGTGCTGCTTGATACTCTCCAGTAATGGGATATATTAATAAATCTTGTGTGCCGCTGCCTTTTCATATAGTCTATGGCCGGTACCGACATGCCCGAAGGAGGTCCAGAGGTTCCTGGAATTTGCACATTTCTATAGGAAATTTATAAGAGGCTTTAGTTCTGTTGCTGCCCCTTTGCATGTTCTCGGCTCTCCCAAGATCAGGTTCAGTTGGACACCCCAGGCTGATGCAGCCTTTCTGAGACTCAAGGACTGCTTCACTGCCGCTCCGATTCTGGTGGTGTCAGAACTCGATCGGCAATTCGTGGTGGAGGTGGACGCTGTCGGCATAGGGGCTGTTCTGTCCCCAGTGTAGTCCCCAAGATGCTAAGCTCCACCCCTGAGCTTTTCTCTCCCGCAAGCTGTCACCCGCAGAGAGGAACTACGACGTGGACAATCGGGAACTACTGGCCATGAAGGTGGCCCTCGAGGACCTGAAGTGGAAGCCCAACACTGACACCATCATCAAGAAGGCCCAGCAGAGGATGTACTTCCTACGCCAGCTCAGGAAGCTCAACCTGCCTGAGGAGCTGCTGATCCAGTTCTACACAGCCATCATCCAGTCTGTCCTCTGCACCTCCATCACTGTCCGGTTTGGATCTGCCACCAAAAAGGACAGGAGCAGACTACAACGGACAGTCAGGACTGCAAAAAAAGATCATCGGTGCCAACCTGCCCTCCGTTCAGGGCTTATACATTTCCAGAGTCAGGAAACGGGCAGGAAACATCACTGCAGATCCATCTCACCCCGGACACAACCTGTTCCAGCTCCTCCCCTCTGGTAGGCGCTACAGAGCACTGTACGCCAAAACCAACAGACATAGGAACAGTTTCTTCCCACAAGCCATCACTCTGATGAACAGCTGATTTCTGACTCACAGTGTCAGGAACAATTCTTGGGCAATAACCCAGTAACTCTGTCTCTAATCAGCCACCTGTTTACTGGTTTCCACTTATTATTTATTCACCATTCTCTATTTCAGTGCTGTTCATACTGTTCATATTGTCATATTGTATATACTGTTTACCAAACCCACCTACCTCAAGTAACCCTAACCGGGTCAATTTTGACCCGGGAGTACAACAAGTGTGATTATTTGCTGCCATTACAAATAATGAAATGGTTTCAAAACACTATCCTGAACTTTGACATATACCAGTCTGTGATAATCTATCAATATATAGTCCTCTGATCTTAACTATTAGTCAAAAGAATTCTGCTTTTTATACCTTAAAAATTTGGTATAGTTTCATATAAATGAGACATATTGACCATGAATTCCACTTGGAAGTGTAAAAATAGTGGTAATGAGTTGGAATGAAGTTGGCTAAGAAGGTGTAACACAGAATTGGGTGATAAGTTAAACTGGATGCTTTAAAAGCGGGAAAACCAGACCGGGTCAATTTTGACCTGGGAGGACAAAAAGTGCATGGTCGATGGGAAGACAACACAAGGGTTAATTACTATAAAATTATGTTGATATAAATAAACCCCATACATTAATGAGGAAAGTCTGTAGATATATTTGATAGTTGCTTTTAATTACTGTCAAATATTTATATAAAGTAATAACTATAAAAAATGTGGTTTTGCAAGCTATTATCATGTGATCTTTTTTTTTACAGTTTAAATACTAAATTTAACAGGAATTTACTATTAATAGATTGGATAATCCCATAAAATAAAAGCCTAAAGCTTTCAAGATACTGTTAATGAGTTTTAAAAATACGATATTTTAAATAATTTTGTGCAATTTTTTTCTGTTTTATCTAAAATCTGTACTTTGACGAGGAGTTCTTGTGGATGGAATCAATAATCCTATGAATTTACCAAAGAATACTGTGTAAAAACAGCAAACTTAATTTATTTGTGTAATTTTATGGTATTTCTGCAATATTTTTCAGTTCATCAACACGGACTCTGACACCGCCAACTCTTCCTTCCGTCTTCCATAAAGCAGACAAAACTGCACATTTCTTATCAGACACATCAATACTGTAACGCTCGGCTATCTGCAACAACTGTTTCTATGTACAGTGTTTAATAATTTTCCAACTGGACCCAACAGAATGCACAGTGTAACAAACCCGATGCATGAGGCCCAACCAACCTCAGGAATGTTCCCCCATAACTGCCTAGCCAAATCTTACAAAACTCAGTCCTAGTCTTCCTGCGGCTTGCGGCGGGTATTTACGCACTGAAACCCAGTGGCAACTGACGCAATCTAAAGGGGAAAACACCATTAATCCTACCAGGGGAAACTCCAAAAGACAGCACATGAGGGAAGCACACTTAGCTTCTCTTCGGACCATGACCAAACGACTCCTGTGAAAAACGAGGCAAACATACCCATCCCTAGAGTGTGGTGCGTCTCCAAAACCAAAAGAACTAACCACATGCGCCAAACTTTCCAATGAAGCAGTCAAAACAAAAAACTAAATAGCCTACAACTTAACCCAACAGACAAGCCCCCATTTGTCATGAAGTGGCTCTTAGACCATGACAAATATGGAGACACACCATGTTGAAAGTATAACAAAGTAATTTATTTTAACAAAGAATCAAAGAATGAGCAATAAATCTAAAAAGAACATAAAGCAAAACATGTCGTGTGAAAATCAGTCCAGTCAGTAGTGATAGGTGTGAGTGAGTGAAAGTATGGTGTAGGTGAAGGTGTTGAAGTGTAGAACTAAAACAAAAAGAACTCAAAACGGCCTCAGCCACACCTTTGAAGGGGGACGCCTCTGCCGACGGTGAAAGAAGAGAGAGAGAGAGAGAGACACTGCACTAGTGCCAGGCTTAAGGAATCGGCACACACTGGGGCCCTCAGGTGTTCACGATTTACCTAATGAATGTAAGAAAGTTACACAGGACAGCCCCACAGGAGATGTCACAATATGCAGATTTATACATTTGTTTAACATTCTACAGATTTTCATTCTACATCAGTTGGACTGTAAAAATACAGAAAAAGTTTACAGTAAATATCTGTATTTAAAAAAATGAATTATTCTGTAGAATAATTTAAGGTTCTTTACTGTAATTCAGTAAATTTAACTGTTTATTTTTAAATTTACCTTAAATTTAAGGTTTCACAGTAAAAAAATTTAAATATGTGAATTGTTTTTGTCTTTTTAAATAGAATTTAATGTCATTTAACATTCATGGCAATTAAGCAATGGAATAATCCTGTATTTTTATTATATTTAAAGATTACAACTTTTAATTTTAAAAAGTATTATTCTGTATTATCATGGCATTTACATGTAATGTTGAAAATCTGTAAAAGAATACAGTATTTTTATTTTTTTTACAGTGTAGCTGCGGGAGCTGGGCATGACAATATTTTAAGAAACGCATGACATAAACAAGGATTATCCCTAAAATGTTATGTTGAGACCTCACCAAGAAACCATGACATAATGTAGTATAAAAATAAATTTTCATTGTTATAAATAGTACTTTGAACAAAAGTACAACAAAATATATCAAGGTTTTGATAAATAACAAATTTAAATATCTGATTTGTTATAAATTGTAGAGTACTACTAATGAACATAAGTAAATAGTGTATTGTAGGGGCCGGCAAAACAGAAACTATAAAAAATACCCATATGCTGCTGCTACTAGTAATAAAACCATATATCATATCTAATGCCATTGCTGTAATGAATAATGATAAACAGGGCTCTCACCTTACATATAATCTGCCACAATGATTACTTTCTACTATGTAGCATATTCACATCTATTTTCCCTTTAGCAGCACTCTATTAATTCTTGCCAAAGCTAAGAGAAATCATTTCCTAACCAAAACCTGGCTCTAAAACATGTCGTCTATGATACAGTGACCCAGAGGAAACGCTGCTGTTTAATTAATCTAATACTAAATGACTCTACAAGGAGGACCTGCAACTTTGAGATTTCACACTAACGTGTCTTTGTTAGGGGGGAAGCCGTGTTAGATACTTGTTGATTGCTCATACGGCATGTCCATGGTGTGGCGTTGAATTTTAATGTTTCGCCATGAAAAAGGAAGTAGTTTGTAAATGGCATTGTCAGATCTGTCCCAAAATTCACATGTCAACCGCTTAGAGAGACTTGCATGTCAAGTGAAAGTGAAAGTGCCACCTACTGGAATCAGGAAAGGACACGTTTCAAACTTTATCCCTTATGCCTCATTTATGTTTTTACTCCACAGAGCACCCTTATGGACAAAAGTGAGTAATTATTCGCAATTAAACAGGAAGCTGTTTTTTGAGAGCTATACCCTAAACCCAGCCAGAAGTTAGACATCAACCACAAATAATTTCCACGCGTCACCTGTGTAATATGTGCAGTGTTAACTTCAGAGCCCAGCTGTCGCTGCACCTCGTTCACCGCTGCTTGCAGCTTTAATTAGTGTTACTTGGCTAAAATCTCATGAATCATTATTAACCAATAAAACAGCCACATAAAAGCAATGTGATCCTGTGACAGTGCATAGTGAGCATATTTGTGCTGTCTGTGTTTTCCTTCAGGCACTTTGGATAAAAATGCGCTTTTAGCTGAATCTCTGTGGAATGCTCCAGATGAAAATAGAATGATTGAAATATTCATTATACATAGTTCCACACAAACAGTTATAGTTTACAAGAAGCTGGTGAATTTTTTTAAGTCACGTGGTTCATGGGAGGGAGGGGGTCCTGTCTTTATATAGAGAGTCTCTTCCTGTTTGCTGCAGATCTACAGCAGCTACAGGATGGGCATCTTCGGCAGTAAGCGTTGTGGTAAGGAAGTTTAAGTAAACTGTGCTGTAGTAATTCAGAAACATCAGCATGTTAGTAGCACACGCTAACTGTATGCAGTGGCTGATGAAGCAGGTTTTAGTTTCTGTCAGAGAGTGAATCCTCCTCACAGGAACAAAGACTTTCTGATCAGGAACTTGTTGCTTCATGTGAACCAGTTCAGCTGTAGTGGGGCCTCAGGGATGTAGTTTAAAGAAAACACAGACAGGTACATCTGTATTTCTAGTCAGAACTGCTCTATACAAGAAAAATCAGACTCTACCTTCCTCAGGTCCCGTCCGCACTACTGCGTTTTGTTTTTAAAATGGAGACCTTTTGCTACTTTTGCACCTCACGTCCAGACTAAAACAATGAAAATAAAGACCTAAAACGGAGAAGTTTGGAAACGCTGCCGACACCATTTAGTGTTTCGAAACAGGTAGCGTTTTAGTGAAGACATGCAAAAACGGAGGACTAGATTTCCCTCTCCCCAAGAGAAAGTGACTTTATGAGAGATAAAGATTTCTTTTAAGTCATGGGAGGGGGTCCTGTCTTTATATAGAAAGTCTCCTCCTGTTTGCTGCAGATCTACAGCAGCTACAGGATGGGTGGTGGCGATTCTAGTAAGGATTTTTCTTCTTTGTCTATAAGTTGTGTTGTGATAGACTGAAATCTTTTATGTTGTTTCACTAAAGCTTAATACTCTGAATATGTCCGATAGCGTTTTTAAAATGAAGTTAGACTAACTAGTTAGACTAACTAGAACAAGAAGGTCTCAGTCTCATGTGTGTTTAAAGCTTAAAGGCTCCCAAAATAATAAAATCTGCTGAAAAGAAATGCTTTTAACACCTTAAACTGGGTGGGACTTTCTGGCCTAACCCTAACCCTTTTATTAAGTTAAATGTGGGACGACTAATTCAGATCTTGTACTGCAGGATCATTTCTATTCTCATTTGTTCTGTTCATGACTGGTTTTAGGACTCTCGTGAGAAGGATTGCAGACAATCCCTCAGTGTTTTTCTTTCTACAACCAGCTCTGCAGCCCCGGCCTTCTCCCAGTAAGATATGAAGTTTACTTTATTTACATGTTTCCTCAATGTTTCTCTCTAGAACAAGCTCCCTCGCCCCAGCAGCCCCCGCCTTCTCCCAGTAAGATATGAAGTTTATTTACACTCTAATCTCTCTGATACAGAATGGTGCATGATGTTAATCAGTGTTAAATATTTGCTTGTTTCTTAAATAATGACACGATCTTCTCTGCAGCTTTCAGGGAACCCTGGAGGAAAATACGTTGGGGGTGAGTTAACCTGAACATGTGTGGTGACACTGTGCTGCGTTCGTCTCTGCTGTTTAACTCTTTCCTTTATTACAAACACAGCAGGGTCTCAGCGCAGAGACAGACTCCAGCTTCAGTAACGACCAATCACAGAGCTGCTCTCATCCCCTTTAAAAACAGCAGACAGGTGAAACAGGAGGAGAGAGGTCTGAACCTGACAACTACAGTGAATTAAATATTATCTTTTGTCATCAGAGATCAGAAAGGGTGCGCTCAGTTCTGTGAATTAGCTTCCATCAAACCATTACAGCAGGGCGGAGACAGACGCTCTAAACATTCAGGGCTCAGGTCTGAACATAGAGGGGTCCGGCAGCTAAATGCCGTCTGGCAGAAAATAATTCCTTTATATTTTTAATTGAGTTGTTCTCCAGCTGTGAAACCAAAACACAACGAACGTGTAGGAGGACACATTTTCACTCCTGCCACCTAAAGAGAGGTGTACTATTTTAAATGACATTACATAGGTAGGGTAGGACTTACTAATCTTGGAACCTGTTGTTCTGCAGCAGCTGAATCCATCCCATAATATCTGTCTGCTCTAACAGCAAATCAACAGCACCATGTAAATGTGGTCTCCATTAATCTGAACTGAGTATTAGATAAAGAACATTTACTCACACAGTGACAACTTGCAGCTGAAGCACCACCACACCTCCTGCTGCTGTTAGTCTCAGATGTGCTGGAAAACTCCAAGAGGCCTGCGTGTTCTTATTGAATACTTTGGTTCAGAAGGGCTGCATTGAACATACACATGTTGTTGTGTATGTTGTTGTGTAAAAATATATTTGCAACTGAGGTCGTTAGTCATTATACCGCAGAAGGCTACATAACAAAATTAAATGTGTAGTTCCTTCATTCTACACACACAACATATAATTAAGTGTAGGCCTACATTAAAATATGGTAACATATACAATAAGATAAAAAAAAACAATACAGTTATTTACATACAGACACGTATTCACCCCGAACACTGGTAATAATCAGGTTATTGATCCAGGACGACTCTGTTTGACTCGCACGTCCTGGATCAATATCATTGAAATGAATGGGATCTTTCCACGGTATTTGAGCTTCGATTATAGCGCCACCTTCTGGCCGAATTGCACCAAACTTTTCAGGTGTCATCAGGGCCCCATGGGGAACTAATGACCCAAATATGGTGTCAATTGAGCTTGTGATTGTGGAGATATAAAATGCATGCAAGTCAATGGAATTTTTTTTGACATCTTTAATCTGCAATAACAGCGCCACCTATAGGCATATTTCAATGAACTTTAGTCCATGGAGTCAGGGGACCATGCTGAACAATTCGGCTCAGCTTTCATGTCAATGCGACTTGTGGTTATAGAGGAACAAATTCTTCGGGTTAAATAGCGCCACCTAGGGGCTAGTTGCACCAAATTTTGCAAATTCCAAAGGTAACATATGACATCACTTCCTGTTTTTAGCATTTTCTGCAAACCTTTGGCTAGCTAGCCAGCAGCACATATTAGGCTAGTCACCTCACCACCTCACTGGTACTAGCCAAAGTGTTGCACCTATTTGTGGTTCACTGCTGCTGCTGTCCATGTTTTACGTTGGATTGAGTGTTTATTGCTTTAGTGAATATTCAGACAGTGTGTTTGGTTTATTGATGTTAAGACCAATAAAATATATCTGGAACAGGTTTATAATTGATCTAAAGTCCAGTTTAATCTCTTTACACAGAGACAAAGACAAAGAGATTGAGTATGTGAAGAAGTATAAGCTTATAAACGACAGGAGCTGGAAAGTCCAGCTTCATCAACTCTGTCAGCAGCGTCCTACGAGGCAGAATGTGTATTGGTGCTGAGGCCGCTGCTACGAACTCTGAGAGAAGTCACACCAAAAAAGTAAGACAACTTCAGATTTGTGTCAATCAGCAGCAAAAATCTGCCCGCTGTTAAATCTATCGATCTAACACAGCAGTAGCCTCGAATAACAATGATCTGTGGACATTTCACTGATGAGATATTATCAACTTTATATATATCACACAGCTCACTGACCCGAAACACAAGAAACACATGTGACAGTAAATCTTTAAAATGAATCCAGCAGCAGGTTGCAGTTCATTAAAAGCTGCAGAGGAGCTGAAATCTCTGAGGTTCCCAGCTGTTGGATCGATTAGGCTGAACTGAGAGAAGAGATGTGAGGTGGTTCTGACAGCAGACCTTTAGAGATGAAGAACCAGGACTCATTCTGACGTCTGCAGATGATTCACTGGCACTAAAACAAGGTTTTTCTCTGTTACAGTATAAAACTCACAAGATCAGAACAAAAGAAGGAGATCCAAAGTATTTTCCTTTCGTCTTCAATGACATCATGGGTCTGGAGGACGGGACTGACTCTGGAGTCCATGCTGAAGACATCAAACTGGCCATGAAAGGACACGTGAACGAGGGATACACGGTACAGCTGTCAATTCAATGGAGGGGGGGGGGGGGGGGGATTATATGATATAGCTTTGGCAATATTGTGAGCTGAATTGAATTGAAATGAAATTGAGATGGGGAGAGACTTTTAAAACCCACTTTATTAAACATCACTGATTCACAGACATAAAAACATTCAATGAGTCAGAGAATCAAACGTTTGACGAGAGAATAAAAAACCTTCCACATAAATAAAAACATCAACCTAAAAACACGACTAAAACTGACTTCTTCATCCACCACAGAACAAATGACATCATCATAACACCACTGACGAACAAACACATCCAAGCTGTTCATCAGCTGATGGAACTTAAAATCTGAGGGATTAATCACAGAGATAAAAGAGTATAATATTCTCCACTGTCAGTCACCTGTGCACTTCTTTAAAGGAAGTTTGTAAAAGACTCTCCAGGTGGGCTTCACAGCGTTACTAACCCCCAGTTTCTCCCTCCACACCGTGTCACTTCTACCATTTAACAACACCTGGAAATCACTTTACCCGTCACCGTGTGCAGATCTGTTTCTGATGATCCAACAATAGACTAGAACAACAGTCAAGATCGGGTACCAGCTCCGGAAAAGGGTCCTCTTCGTCCGGAGCTTCCTCACCTTTCCAGTACATCCTCAACAGCTCATTATCTGCTGCTGTTAGTTTTTTAGTCCAACCATTCAGAATGTTCCTCACGTGACACAGAGATTTTAGTCCAATCAGTGCAGCCACAGCCTCAGTGTTCATAAAACCAGGTCCAGCTACATCCACTATCCGTCTGAGAGTTGTAGCGCCAGCAGAACGGAGCGTGTGATGGAGGCCTGGTGTCGTATTACAGAAACGTCCTTACCGGCAGATCCTATCCTAGCTGCTTGGTAACCATGGTAATAAGGGCTGGGAACTGATTTAGGAAAAAGGCCGTTACAGATTAACAGTCAATGTTCCTTTCCTAACTTTAAAGAAACTCTCTGTTAAGCTGTCCTAACTTTTACTTTTCCACACAGCCAGAGGTCTACAGGCAGCAGAAGTTTTAACAGACTTTGAGGATTTTTCTAGAAGAGAAGTTTCCATTCAGGCTTATTACAGAGACAGACTGTTTTAAAGGAGAGGTGGCAGTGAGAGCACTGCAGAGTCAGGTGTGACGGTGCAGCAAATTGTGTACATGGCTCACAAGTAACAATGCATAACACAGGTGTGTGTCCTCATGCTCTGGTCAAAGCCCTTTCTGACGTGACAGAGCCAATATTAATAGGCTAAGCAAGGGGAGCTAGTAAAGCACATACTGACACACTCCAATCAAAAATAAATCACAAATGTACATGGGGGATGAGGGGGCCTGTGCCCCAGTAGAGCTTTATGTCCAGCAACGCCCCTGACATACCCTGTGAGTTTAGTGATGACATTTTGATGATTTCTGTTCATTTCTTTTGTTCACGCCCCTTTTTTAAGGTCATTGGTCAGTGTCTTGAAACCTAAATGAGATATCAACAAGCTTTATACAGCTTTTAATCAGCTTGGTCCAATGATGATCAAACAAATATTTGGTGGCAATCGAAGCAATGGTCTAGGAGTGTACTGACTAAATCCTAACATATTCTAGTAACTGGTTGCTAATACAGCGGATTAAGTTTAGACGTGTGCCGGTGCAGCGTCTTAAATATCATACGGGGACTTCGGTAATGTTACTATTAACTAGCAAGTTTATTTTCCTCCATATCTCATACAGTGGCATTATCTTTGCTCGTAATACATGTAACCAACACCAACGTGCCTTGCTCACCCCAGGCTAGACACTAGCACAGTCAAAAACTGTTTGCTTCCCAAATCAGCAACACCTGTGTCTGGGTTTCCTCTACGTAAATAACCCACACCTCCATGACTCGAGATCAGCTGAACTGCAAAGCACATACAGCCCCCTAGTGGCACAAGACAAGAATTACATAAAAGAATACAGAATGAAAATGGCTCATACAAGGAGGACAAGTCAAAGTTTTTCAAAGAACAGTCACAATCTGATAGGGTTTGTCAGTAGGACTCAGTCAGCTCAGGGAATATCTGTGGCGGTGTTCTAAACCAAACTCACCAGTCCATGACAGCCAGTACGTCCTGGGACGGCCAGCGCGCTGCTAATCAGCAGCAACACACACTGGAGGGGTGAAAAGGAGAGTGAAATTGCGAGGCCCCCTGGCAGCCGAGGGCCCCGGGCAATTGCCCACCTTTGCTCAATGGTAAAACCGCAGTAGTCTGGTTACTCTCATCATACTTTGTGTTTGACATTGTTTTCCAGTTCAATCCTGTATCTCCACTGTCAGAGAGGGATCCAGGCTACAACCCAGACCCGTCTGCAGATGACAGAGTTCATCTTCTGGTTTGTGTGCTTTCTGCTAACTCAGCAGAAATTACAGACTCAGTTCTGGAGAAGATGAAGGCCGTCAGAGAGGCAGCCAGTGACCTGGGTAAGACCTGAGATATAGAAGTTCACAGAGGAGGAGTCATTTAGTCACATCTGTTCAGAGTTTCTGCTGTACGTTTACAGAAGCTGTCGTGTTAAAAGGATCATTTTAACGCTGTGGTCTAATTTTATACCTCTTTTGAAATGATATTGGTGTACCTCGTAATACCGATATACTGCCCAGCCCTGGACTGTTTAATAGTTCAGTCAGCCTGATCACATTAGCTTTGAGTCGGGTTTACACCTGACACTTGGATTAGGTTTTTTCTCTCTATATATACAGGAATAGTGGTTGTTGTTTGTGTTTGTTGGACCTTATGAACTGAAGCTGTCTGACAAATATTAGCTCAAAATACTGAGTGAGTTTCTGTCTGCAGAGATTCCCCAAATGGCGATAGCCACCAACGTTGATGGAGCCTGTGCTGAAACTGAGAAGGATGTGAAGAACGTGTACAAGAGCAAGCATCTGAAGAAGAAGGTGAGATTCTCTATGTTCAGTGTTTGAGCACAAAAAGTCACAACTTCACGTTTACTGACCAGCTGAAATGTTGTTTAACACTCAGATGTTAGAATTTCACAGAAGAGTGGGATTTCCAGAGAACTGCATCTTTCCTGTGAAGAACTACAGTAAAGAGCTCGACCTGGATCCTGACGTGGACGCTCTGATCCTGAGCGCTCTGAGAAAAATGCTCGACTTTGGAGACGACTTCATTGACGAACACTTTTAGGTGGTTTCACCTGTTGACAGTTTGCTTTGATGGTTAATGTCTGTATCTGATGAAGACTGGGAGTCCCTTGGTAATGGATGTGTGTTTGTGTGTATATGTACATATATAACAAAGTAGTACTGGCTACACCTGCACTACATGAAAAGTGCAATGAGATAACTTCTGTTGTGAAGTGGAGCTAAATAAAAATAATATATATATATATATATATATATATAAACACACGCACACATCCAGGTTCCTACAGCTGTCAGGATTTTCCATGCTTCTCAGCAGATCTTCTGACCTTTGACCTCTGAGTACAAATACCTATAAAACCGTTGCTTTTATGATCAATATATTTCATTTTTTTAGCCGCTTCAGATTTTTTAAAAGCTTAAAGCCTCCAGTCTTGGTTGATTCAGATTCTCTGTCCTGGAACGTGCAGACATTTCTGTAACTTCTCTTTAATGGAAAACTCTTTCTGCAGCACTGGCTGATCCTCCTGGGTTAGAGTTGGGCTTCCAGCTGTATGTTCAGAATAAAACTTACTATTAAACGAATAAAACTTTCTCTGTCTCTTATGGTCTCTGTGTATTATATGTTATATAAAATGAAACCAGCCCACGCTGGACTGAAGGACTTCGTCCTCTCTCTGTTTCTATGATGGACCTGAAAATGAATTAAGACATACATATACTCAGACGCGGATCTGCCCTCCTTGTGATCTGATTGGCCACCCAGTGTGCCCTCTTAATGATTTATTAACCTCAGCTGTGGAAGGAATCCCCTCTGGTTGGCCTATAATTGGTCATATCTTGGTCAACTCAGTCCTGTTAGCCCTGTTAGTTAAATTACGCTGTACAGACTCAACACTTCCTGTATCACTTATAAATTAAAAGCCTTTCAGTGGACAGACGCTTTTATTGTGAAACATTTGCAGGAACGTGTTGTGGAAAACTCACTGACTTGCAAGGTTTCCTTGATCAGGGCTCTGTGGGGGCCACACCATCACTCCCAGGACTCCTTGTTCTTTAAGCTGAAGTTGGTGCTTAGTGACTTTCACTGTGTGTTTGGGCTCATTGTCATGCTGAAGAATACATTGGGGCCAATCATGTCTCCCTGACGGAACTGCAGGATTTTAAGCATTAAACACTTAAGTTCCTGCATTCTGGTGAATCAGACAGAAGAGCCGTTTCAGTAGAGTGGGCACTCTTAAAACCAGACTGGTATGGATCTAGGAGGTCATTCCCTGAGAGGAATTCTGAGACCTGTTTGAATACTGCCCGTTCAATAGTTTGGATAAAAAATGTAGGAGAGACTCTGGTCAATAGTTCTCAACTTGAGTTGGGTCGAGTGAGGGCTTTTTGAGCAAGGGTGTAACCCGAGCCCTTTTGAAAGTGGTCGGGAAGGTTCCTGAAGCCAGAGAAGTATTTATCACATGAGTGATTGTCGGGACCACAGTAGGAGATATGGCTTGGAGGAGATTCGTAGGAATCGGGTCCAGTGGGCATGTAGTTGGACGGCTACGGGTCAAGAGTTCTGATACTTCGCTCTCTGTGAGAGGAGTAAATGAGGAGAGTGAACAACCACTGACCTGGAAGGGCAGAGGAAAAGATGTAGTAGGACTGATACAATGGTTGAGTTTGAGTGTTTGGCTAGTTATAGCCTCCACTTTGCCTGTGAAGAAGGCAGCAAAGGTATCAGCAGACAAGTTTGTGGGTGGTGGAGGAGGATTTAGTAGCGCTTTAAAAGTGGAAAATAATTTCCTTGAGTCAGTGGCACTGCTTATTCTGTCATTATAGAACGCAGTTTTGGCAGCACTGATGCTTGTTGAGAAGGAGGATAGGAGCAACTGGGAGGGTCTTTGGTTTTTCGCCATTTTCTTTCAGCCGCTCTGAGATCAGTACGGAGCCCACAGATGGTATCAGTTAGTTGGTTTGGGCGAGCAGGCTTGGTGGATAGAGGACACAGGCTATCCAGGCACGAGCTCAGTGTAGAGCACAGAGATTCTGTGGCATCATTGACCTCAAGTGTGGAAAATGTGTTGAGGGAGGGTAGAGCGGAAGATACCACTGAGGCAAAGTGAGCGGGAGACAGGCTGCGGAGGCTGCGGAGGCTGCGGAGGTTGCGGCGGTGTGAAACCAATGGTGTTGGAAGAATGGGCTTTTCCTGTAGGCATACTGTGAAATGAATGAAATAGTGGTCAGACGCATGTAGAGGTGTGACTGTTACGCACTCTGTGGCACAGTTTCGGACAAGAACGAGGTCAAGCACCTTGCCAGCTTTGTCGGTCGGGGGGCTGAGAACCCGTGTTAGATCAACACGCCCTCAGAAACAGCGAGCTGCAGCACACAGCTCTCCTCTCCCTTCCAAACACTAGCTACCCTCCAGGCAGTCAGTGGACATAAAGTTGTTCCTGTGATGTAGAGACAGAGCTCAGTTAAAACTTTATGGATACAGATTAATAACTCACCGCTCTGAAACTCTCGCTCCAGTCCGTGTTGCCGAGCTGGTCGGCAACACGTACGGCTCAACCCGAGCTGTTTACCGGCTTCTCGCCGACCCGCCCTACTCTGCTTCTGATTGGCTAGTAGTCCTTAACTGGGAACTGAGCATGTGCAACTCCCAACAAAGATCATGTAGAGACAAGATGTATCGCATCCTGGTTTCTCCTGTGTCTCCTCCTCTCTCCCTCTGTGTGTGCTCCCCCTCTCCTCTCCGGAGCCCGGCTGACTACCCACACCTGCGTCTCATCAACCTACATCTCCGACCGCCACACCTGTCAGCTATCAGCCTCATCTCGACCAGTATTTCTACCCCGGCTCTCCACTCCATCCCTGCTTGATCGTCGTCGCTCCAGAATTGGTGCCACAGCTACATTCAAGCTTTTTTATGAACTTGTTCATGTCTAACTTCTTCGTCTCCTGTCACCCTGAACTAATCCTGTCTGTCTGTTTCGCCCGCCAGGTCCACTCACCTCTGCCTCCCCGTTTGGCCAGCCGGGCTCACCTACCTGTCTTCCCCTCTCACATTGCCTCCACTGTGCATTTGCACCGTTGCCTCTCAGGGGGCGGTCACGCGGCCCGTCTCCAGACGGTATCCGACGCGCTCTACTCCCTGGGTGAGGTGTTATGAATTATTTTGGAGCTTTATAGCCTGAATTGTTCTCATTAATTACTAGAGCAATGGTGGTCTACACTGTCATCATTTAAAGTGTTATTTTATAGTGTAAAGTTAGGATCACAGTGTTAAAACTCTACAGCTCTGAGTGTTTGTGCTCCTTTCTGTATCTAACTGTCCAGGCACATGTGTGTGTGTGTGTGTGTGTGTGTGTGAGCAAGCTCATGTGCTTTGGGAGAAAAGGGAGGCAGCACAGTAAGATATCATCAAAAATACCTGCAAAGTAAAATATAGAAGCAGATTTTGTGCAAATTGTATAACAAAACATACATCAATATAGTCCATCACAGTGAGAATGTCCTGTTTCTAGCACGGAGCACAAACAACACCAGTTTATTCCATAAAAGTCAGGTTATGGAAGAAATGGCTTGATCAAGCAGAGTTCATGCAAAAGACACAGAGAGGAGGAGCAGGCAGTCAGGGACTTTCCCACCAAATGCTTGGGCACGTGAAAATCTTGGACTTTCCCAGACTCAGGTGCAGCAGGAAAGAGAGCCAAGAGATGATGTAAAGCCAAGAAACAGAGCTATAAAAGGAGGTCCAAAAGGAGGTGAAAGTCAGTCGTTACATGGTTTTCATGTGGACTCGGGTCTCTGTTCTGGTAACAGAATGGGTCTCTATTTTGCACCGATCTCTGACTCACTCCGGTGGAACATTTGTATTCTAATTGGTGTCTGTTTTTGCTGATAATAAAAATGTTGGTAAAAGTTCAAGCTTTCTTATCTGGCCCAAGTCTTGAATTATTACACGACATTACTTGTCGAGCCGAGCCAGGAGAGTTGAACAGGGGCAGGATGACCTTGACCTTGACTTGCAGTACAGGATTCTCCGCCCAGGTGAAGTTTCTGAAAGCTTCCTCACTCTAGAACCTAGTTAAAGTACAAAAATTAAGGAAAATTGTTAAAAATGTAACTGAATTCACTAAAAATGAACTAAATTCATTAAAAAAGACAGAGCAGATACAGATTGAGAACCACTAGGGTGTCGGAGATGGGTGCAAATCTAAATGCAGGCAGGTAGATTAGATGCGCTTTTATGTTTAATTGTTGGCTTTTAAGTGTAAATAAGTATGTAAATAAGATTTGTAAATAAGATAAGAGTTTTCCAGCCATTATCGTGAATACCGCTGTTTTTAAGAATCGCAGTGCTTCGACTGAGTGTCAGGGAGCTTCGATCCCATCAGAACAGGACTGCATAGGCGAAGTGAGCTGATGAAGAGATAAGAATTTAAGCGCTTGCGGATACCGCAGATTTGGAGATTGCAGAACCACAGCTGAGTGCTGGGGTGCTTCACTCACTAGGTCTGGGCTGAAATGGGCAAGTTGGCAAATGTTGTGAACTCAACCAGACGCACTTCAAAGAAGGTCAAAAGGTGTCAAAAGAGGGAGGGAAGTTTCCCTCCCCCGAGAGTTGACCTTTTTCACATGTAAAACCCAGAGACATCGCCTGGTGTTTGGTCAGGACCGAAAGAGACTCAATCAGACAATGAATCGCTTAAGGATTGTGTATTCAAAGAGCCTTAGTGAACCTTTCTAGCCGTAAAGGTGTCACTAAAGACAGTCCACAGGACAGGAAAAGGGGCGATCTGACCCCTTCTCCCTCCAGCAGGTCACCTCCAGCCTCAATCTGACTCTTTTCTCCCCACAGAACAGCTGAGCCATAAACCACCATTTCATTCTCTGATAACCTGTGCGATAAGCCAGGAATGCAGAGAAGAGAGACCATAAAAACCCCTGTTACTCGAACCAAGCAAGGTTCCTGTATAACCGTGTTTATTCTGTTAAATAATAACCTTGCTAAGTGAGCAGCGGTGTTAGCCTCTGAGTTTAGTAAGTAATAACCCTGTTGTTATCCTTTAGTGATGTTTGAAGACTAGCAGACCCATAAGAAAGTAATCTTGAACTAGTTTTCTAACCTCTTTCTGTGTTGTTTTAATTCATTCCTGTTACTCCCTAGTAATCACTGTCTATTCAATGCTAATTAATGCTTTAGTTAAATGTTTCATATACAATTTCTTACTAAATTATCCATGGAAACGCTCGTAGGCATCACCAGCCTCTCAGTTAAAGTGGAATGTCTACTCTTTTCTTGTGTGACCCGAGCGCCACCAAGGGGACAAGAAAGGTATAACACGCAAGTGTTTAAAACTCGGCTTACACTGACAGAATTGTTAAGTAGGCCTAACTATCACCATGTAATTGCATAAACGAAATTTTACTGTCATGCTTACATCTAAATTGTCTCATGAGTTAAAACCAGTAACCAGCAAGTATACTGAGGACAGGTAACCAAGCTTTGTTACGTTTTATATAACCATTATAACCTTTTTCCATAGTGTTTAGCCTTGTTTTAACTGTCTTTATCCAAATGTTTAGAACTAAGTATTTTTCCAAATG